CACAAGATTAAACCTATTAAAATCAAATATGAAGCACTGCGATGAAGAACAAATCAGACACACTTAATTAAACTTAAAACATGGAATTATTAATATAATTGCTACTCAAACTGATTTAACCTAACTCATTAACACCAAACCATAAGGAATCAAATTCAAACAAGGCCCAAACTATCACAACAGATTAACAAAGAATTACACTAATAATCAGACTAAAACCAAGAATTAAAATGAATTAAAATCTAAACGGGATGAACAAACAAACGGAATCGAGCACAAAATCAGAACAGGAATGATACGAACAAAACGAGAATTAACCAAACTAAACATCAAACTAACACATAAGACCAAATAATATTGACTAACAGTTAACAAACTAGAACTCACGAGAACCAAGAAAAGAAATAATAGAATTGAGAAGAAAGACATACTAATTTCAGAATTCATATGGCCAAACCGTCTAAATTGATTTTTGATTAATGTTATTTGTCTATTTCGTCAGAAATAGGCATAAAACATTAAACAAAAAATCAACTGACCCCAAAATATCTCGAAACAGACCCGACTTCATAAACCTTAGATTTGAAATTCAACGAGTTCCAGTGGGATTCGAGGGGTTTTAGTTAGGGATTAGTGATGAGGGAAGTCAGGGGAGTATATGGTACGAATTTGGGGCCGTTTGGAGAAAGTAGCATTTTGGCCGGATTATTTCGAATTAAGATTCGACAAGATTGGCAGTGATTCGAGGGAAATAGTTTGGATATTTGGGATGAGGAGATTGAGGAGGTCCTAGGGTGTTAATTTGGGACCAGTTTGCGGTGGCGCCGCCACCGGAGGAATTTTGGGCGGCGCTAGGGTTCATGACTTTGAACCCAGATTCGAAGAGTTCTAGGTTCATTCGAGGTAAACTGGTCGTGGATTGGGAATGGGGAGGTGTAGAGGAATTCAGGGTGTGATTTTGGTTGCCATTGGGGTGGTTTGAGTCGTCACCGCCGGCGGGTTTGACGGAGTGTATCAGGGCGGCGGAGCTTCTCTAGGGTTTGGGAGGGTCTGAGAGACGGGAACAAAGAAGGTCGGGGGGGGGGGGGGTGGCCCTTCGGACATTTTTATATTAAAGATCCTCGAGTTCCTGGCCGTTGGATCATGAAACCTCGACGGTTGAGATTGATTTGGGCAATACGACGTCGTTTTGGCGTCTTTGAGCTGGACTGGCTAAGGCTCCGTGTGAAGCATTTTGAAAAGTTTGACCGAACCCTGCTTCAAAGGTTGCCTACATATCCTTGGCTGTAAAGGAATCAGGTCAGTGTAGTTCTGGAAGGTTTGGTGTTGCTGTGATTTCAGGTCACTACCAGGAGCTGTGATTTCACTGCTGTTGCTGCTGCTACTGCTCGCTGACCTCCTTATTACACCGTGTCAAAATAAAAAGAAGCTAGCCTAAGCTATGATCTATGAATTACAAAAAGGTCCTATCTATGTCTTCAAACTTGCTCTTGTGTTGCCTTGAACTTGTATTCTTCCGATGGAATCCTTGCGTTGTTGCCTTGAATTGTGATCGGAGATGTTTCGCTATTCCTCCGAGTGATGCTTGACTGCTAAAATTTGAAATATATGCCTCTATTCTCCAGGCGAGCTCCTGATTGCTGAACTTGACAAGTATTCCCTTGTTCTCCAGGTGGGCTCCTGACTGCAATAAAATAAACAAACAAAGAAAATTTGCTGCCCCAGTTGGTGGCTGGGTACATCATGTTATCAAATATTAAAAATTAAAAGCTAAAATTTGAATTGTACTTCCCTTGTTCTCCAGGTGGGCGCCTGATTGCTGAACTTGAAAAGTATTCCCTTGTTCTCCAGGTGGGCTCCTGACTGCAACAAAATAAACAAACAAAGAAAATTTTCTGTCCCAGTT